TAAAATAAAGCAAAAACAAAAACACATTGGAAAATAATGTTTAGCAAAGAAATATGTATTTTAAAAAGTAAAAAGAGCCAAAATGTTCTAAGCAAATAGAAACTAAAAAAAAGAGCCACACTTTTCTGAGCAAAGACCCGCGTTTGCCCACCGTTGATATAAACTATCTGTATTCCAAATTTAATTGAAATATATCTAGACGTTTTAGCGTGAAGGAGCAACAAACATACTCACTCACAAACTTTCACATTTATAATATTAATACATTAGGGGAATTTAAGTTAAATAAATCAATCGCGCGAATTTTACACATCATTCGTTAAATTATTTCAACAGGTTGATTTATTTAAGTTAAATTCCACTAATCCTATGTACTAATATAATAAATGTGAAAGTTTGTGAGTCAGTATGTACGCTAAAACGTCTGGATATATTTCAATTAAATTTGGAATATAGATATAATATACTAACATATAAAATATTTTTTGGAGTTGCCACCTCTTTCAAAAAAAACCCGATTAATTAAAAAGTTTAACAAAATATTAGCAATTGAAAGCGGTTCAGAAACTATATATTTCGGAAGTATTTTGTAATAGGGTTGCCGCCTGTTAAAAAAGTTTAAATCAATTCTTTGAAAAAGTTTAAACGAAATATTTTAATGTGGGTATCAAACGAGAATGCTTTATTGTAGAAATATTTTTAGAGAGTTGCCATCTTTTCAAAAAGTTAAAATCAATTTAAATAACACGTTAAAAAATTTTTTTCTGCGTAATTTTGCAGAACTTTCTTTTTCCATCTTAGGAACTCTAGAACATTTGAAAATCTACTCAGAACACTTTTAATTTTTATTTTTTTCACACATTCAACTTTTTCGACTTTTTTTCGACAATTTACGCGTTTTGCATTTCTTTCGACCTTATTCATTTCGAAAGCATACGATTTCGACATTTTGCGTTTCGGTTAAACATTATTTCGAGATTTAAAAAATTTTGAAATTTCGACATTCCTCATTCGACATTTTTATTTTCGACTTATCGTACGGATCCCGTAAAGTAAAATTCGCGCGAATTTTCGAAATTTTTCTTTTCGACAATTTTTTTTTCGACATTCTTGATTTTCTAACTATTTTTTTTCGACATTTTTTTCCGGTGTTTTTAGTTTCGACAATTTAAATTTCGACCCGTACGGATCCCTTATTTCGAAAATATTTTTGAATAGGGTTGCCTGCTTTTCAAAAACAAGTTAACCGTTCGTCGATGTTTGGGTAGAATTCTACCTAAAATGCTTTAATAAAATACAATATAAAAAAAAATGCGCGAATTTTACACAGGGATCCGTACGATAAGTCGAAAATAAAAATGTCGAAAGAGAAATGTCGAAATTTAAAAATTTTTTAAATCTCGAAATAATGTTTAACCGAAACGCAAAATGTCGAAATCGTATG